AATTGGAGGTAAGTCAGGAGGCATCTCTTCTGGGATTACATCCTCGAACTCCTGCAAGAAAGAAACATTGCTCGGCAAAGAACCGGCATGATCGTTAGTATTCAAAAGAGCCTCCTTGTGCGTGAGCACTATAAGGGGCTGGTGTGATAGTAAAGCTCTCTTAATCTCACTTTTTGTAGCCATGAAATTGTAATTATTTTCTCTCATCAAGGCTGTAACTCTCTTGTTTTCCCCCTCGTGATTTCTCATGTTTTTGCCTCTCTCAACTTCTTTCCTCTCATTTTCTTCTCTCTTTTTCTCTTCTTTCTTTTTCGGTCTCTCTTTTTCCTCTCTTTTCCTTTGCCTTTTGCAAATTTAGTTGGTCTTCAAGAACCTGTTTGGGAGTCAATGGGACAAGGGATATGGGTTGTCTTTTAATGGTAAAAGTGTACCTATTGGTGAAACTGTCATGTGTGACTTGCCGACCGTACTGCCATGGTCTTCCCAATAGAATGTGACATGCGTGCATAGGTACCACGTCACAAAGCACCTCATCCTCATATTTCTCAATGGAAAATGTCACCATCACCTATTTCGTTATCTTGATTTCTCCGCAATTATTGAGCCATTGAAGCCGGTATGGCCGTGGATGTTTCAAGGTAGGTAATGCCAACTTCTCCACTACTTCGGTGCTAGCCACATTTGTGCAACACCCACCGTCAATGATAAGGCTGCAAACTTTGTTATTTACAAAGCACCGTGTATGAAACAAGTTCTCCCGTTGGTTGTTTTCTTCTTCCTTAACCTGCACACTAAGGGCTCGCCTTGCCACTAATGCTTCTCCCTCCACCGCATGTTGTCCTTCATAGGCATCTTCAAGAGATGGCATGTCATCTACCTCTTCTTCCTCTTCATCCGACTCAATCTCTCCTTGGGCGTTTATCACCATCACTCTTCTATTCGGACATTGGCTAGCTATGTGCCCTCTGCCTTGACATTTAAAACATTTAATGTCGCGGTTTCTATCTGTAGAGGATTCGGGGTTAACTTGCTTTGATGTCTCAGCTTGCTTGGCATCCTTAGAGGGTTCAATCTTAGGTCTTGGCATAGGAAACTCATCCCGTTTAGGGGCTGGTTCCCATGAGTTTGTGGCAGCCACGTTCATTCCCTTCCTAGCCATGTTCTTTCTTCTCAATTGTTCTACTTTGATGGCTTGGTGCACCATATCCGTTAGCTCCACATAATATTGCATCTCTACTACATCCGCTATTTCACGATTTAGACCATGCAAGAATCTTGCCATGGTTGCTTCACGGTCCTCTTCCACATTCGTGCGGATCATTGCAATTTCCATTTCTTTGTAGTAATCATCTGCGCTCTTGGAGCCTTGAGTTAGGTGTTGCAACTTGTTAAATAACTCTCGGTGGTAGTAGCTTGGAACAAAACGCCGCCTCATGATAGTCTTCATCTCGTCCCATGTCTCGACGGATCGTTCTCGGTTTCTTCTCCTATCCTGTAACAATTGGTCCCACCAAACGATAGCATAATCGGTGAATTCAATTGCAGCGAGTTTTACCTTTTTGAGCTCTAAGTAGTTATGATAATCAAAGACCATCTCCATACATTTCTTCCACTCAAGATACACCTCGGGATCACTCTTTTCGGGATCACTCTTGCCCTGGAAGGATGGGATCTTCACCTTAATGCTTCCCAAATCATCATCTCGCCTAGGTCTACCCATCCTATCTTCTCTATTCCCTCTCCCAAACCTATCCCGGTTCATTGGTGGATCCTCAAGCTCCTCTTCATCCTCAAACTCATCCCATTGATCCCCGGTTGGCACACGCCTAGGTGGCTGCCTAAGGGGATTATTTTGTTGCACTCATTCTTCTAGCTTATCCATCGTCTCATGAAGTTGTTCTAATCCCACCCTCATCATTCGCCTCATCTCCCCTATCAATGCCTGCATCTGTAGATTCGGATGTTGTGTAGGCGGATTGGCTTCTTGTTGAACCTCTTCGGTTTGATGTTCGCCTTGGTTGTGAGACATGATTAAAATCTGCAAAACAAAGTTAGAAACCTCACAAGCACCCCCTCACGTGTTTCACTCCTGATGTGTATATATATATATTTTTTGATACTCGTGTTTGTCACTCAATGGCTTTTACCCTCCGATGTTCTCACCACTCTTGCCTTTTTCTCTCCCACTCGTTGTGTCTTCTTGAGTTCTTAATCGGACTCAAAAACACAGTTTTTCAAGTAACAATCAAGTTATTGGCAACCGAACGAACCAGTAAAATTAAAAAGCTCCGAAACTAGTGAAAACGATCGAATTTTGGCCCCAAAAACAAGGCACTGGGCTCCGCCCGGTGAAGATTGTAGAGCTCGAAAAGATCTTTGATTTGATATATTATACGTCCCGTAACGATTCCTGAATCAAAAGTTATGGCTGTTTTAAGGTACAGTACTCCGATTTTTTTTTTCTCGGATTTGTTTTTTTTTTTTTTTTTAATCGCAAAGTTTGGCTAATAAAAGAAGCTAGGTCGAATTTGATTGAAACTCGGACTCCCTTATGAAGTTTCGGCCAAAGGATTGCAACAAGGAAGGAAAACCTAATTGAATTCCAACTAGGTTTAGGAAAAGCTTTTATCCTAAACTCGGCCAAGGAATAGCAACAAAGGAAGGAAGGATTTAGAGGCTATATCTTAAATTCGGCCTCAAGAACCTTAAGAATTCCGTTTTTTTTTTTTTTTTTTTTTTTGAGAATATGAAATTCGACCTCAACAAGGAAAATAACCCTAGGAACCCGACTCTTTTTTTTTTTTGGAATAATTCGAAAATTCCAAAGCAAAGCAAGAACAAAAGGAAGAACTCGAATTGAAACCCCAAGACCCTAGGAAAACGATTAAAGATAGTCAAACTTGCCTTGGAACCAAAGCTCTGATACCAACTAATATGAACCTCGCCAACGACGCGACGAGACCTAACACCAAACGCGGATCACAACCTCAAGATCTTCAAGACGCAAGATTGTTGAGCCTTAACCCGTTGTCTATCAAGATACGAACTAAGAACTACGAAGGATAGAGAACGCTACACAAAGATTATCAAGAATTCACCTATTAATCTCAATGATAAGTTCGATTGTTGAACGCAAGTTCAAAGTCTTCTCAAGAACCAAGAAGCACGAATATGAGAAACCTCAATATCAATAATAATTCATTAATTAATTAAAAACGAGTTTAGCATCCCTATTTATATAGGTTGCGATTTTACCCTAAAGAAAGAAACTAAAAAAGTTTAATTATCTAAGCCTAAAGCCCAAACTCGGCCACCCTAATCTAAGTCCAAGTCCAATTCGGACCCTATACACTCCAAGGCCAATTCAGACATAAAGTCTTTCCCTAGGCCCAATTCGGCCAATTTGAGGTGACTAGGTTCTTCTTCATCCGGATTTGGACTTGTTTTGGGCCTCCATGTGTTTGCCTTGTCACCGGACCACTTGGTAGACTCAGTGGATCTCTTGGATGTTGTGCCACTTGCCATTGTGCTCCACCTATCGCATCAAAATTCAGCTACAAATTCCTGCCACCGTGCCTACTTCGGAGTGAGCTTCGGTTGAGTGAGAAAATGACTAACTATCTTCACGACAAACCTAAACCCCAATAGGTAGTGTCTCCACACCCGTAAGCAATGTATCACGGCTAGAAGCTCCTTCTCTTGAGCCGTATACCTTCTCTCCATTCCGCTAGCTTCCGACTTTCGTAGGCCACGGGATATGGCCCCCTTGTAGTAACACCCCGCCCAAGGCAAAGTTTGACGCATCCGTTTGCACTTCAAACAGCTTCGCCAATACAGGATCCTTCATCATGGCTTCTTTTAGACTCTCAAACGCTTTCTGGCACTGGTCGCTCCAAATCCATGTAACACCCTTCTTCAACAACTCGGTCAAGGGTGCGGCTTTCTTGGAATAGCCCTCCACAAAACGCCGGTAGTAGTTGGCCAATCCGAGAAATGAGTTTAGTTCCTTTACGTTGGTTGGCACCCTCCACTCTTGGATGGCCTTCACCTTTCCCAAATCCATGTGGATATGTCCGCAATCGATAATGTGGCCAAGGAACTTGATGCTCTCCTGTGCAAATGAGTATTTTTCCTTCTTGACATATAGTTGGTTGTCCCGTAGCTTCTGAAAAACCAACTTCAAGTGCTCCTTATGCTCTTCTAGAGTTGCACTGTAGACCACAATATCATCCAAGTAGACAACCACAAACATTTCGAGAAAGTCGTGGAATACTTGGTTCATTAGTGTGCAGAATGTGGCTGGCGAATTCGTCAACCCGAATGGCATCACCAAGAACTCAAAAACGCCATATCGAGTGACACACGTAGTCTTTGATTCATCCCCTTCCGCAATCCTCACCTGGTAGTATCCAGAGCGCAAATCAAAGCTTCGTGAAGAACTTGGCATGGCTCAACTGGTCGAAAAGGTCTGCTATTAGCGGAATGGGGTAGGTGTTGCGCACGGTTAACTTGTTCAAGGCCCAGTAGTCAATGCAAAGACATAGGGTCCCATCCTGCTTCTTTTAAAATACCACCGGGGCTCCAAATCGTGCTTTTGATGGCCGAATGAAGCCTACTTGAAGGAGCTCATCCAACTACTTCCGGAGCTCTACTAGTTCAAGGGGCGTCATGCGATAAGGCACCTTTATAGAGGTAAAATAAAGTAATAAACAACCCTATCTATCCGACAGTCAACTATAATTATTTGTAACTATTACAAATATTAAGCGATAAACACATGATTGAGGAGTGAGTTAGGTGTTCATGCTTCGCGCATTCCTTTGCATGATCAACATTGAGAGTGACATCAGAACTAGATTCTGAATTTAGGGGCACATCGAATGAGTATTTAATTCTTGTTTCAAGCAGTTTTCTCTTCCCATTTAAAATTGCAATTTGTAGAACTCCAAAGATGTGAAGATTTATTTTCTTATAGAATAATAACTGGCTTGGTATTGCAGTATGGGGTGCATGCAACCACGCGTTCCATCTTCATTGCATCTTAAAATGGGTGAATTCACAGTCTTCTCAGGCCCATTGCCCCATGTGCCGTAGGGAATGGCAATTCAAAGGATGAGATTTATTTGTTTTTTAATAAGACTCATGTAAGTAAACAAAAAGTCTCGAACTGTTTCCTGCTTTATTTTTCTGGGGAATTATCACTGGTAATGTTGATGTTTAACTGTTCAATATGTCACTTAATGACTTGTACAACAAGTTATCTTATTTTAGTAAGCACCAAATGGATAAGGATGTATAACCAAAGTTCGTGTTAGTTTTGATGATCTTTAAAGCTTATCAATTTGGATATTACTCGGTTTAGGGGTTGCTTTCATGCACTTTTTGACGGGATCTTTTACCAGAATTTATTTGGATTGGAAGCTCAGTTTGACGTTTTACGCAATTCCACATGTAATAGAAGTGGAGACAGCCGACTGTGCGTTTCGATTTTTTTTTAAATTATTATATACTCGTGTCACAACGAAATTTCCCGTTGATTTTTTATAGGATTAGAAGGGTGAAGAAGTTTCTCGTTTTATGTTTTTTATTTGTATTGTTACTACGTGGAAGGAAAGTTGGTCACGTTATCCTCCTCGGCGACTTTTAAAAAAAAAATGTAAGATACTGAATTATTATTAGTTTTAATACTCTTCGACTAAACTTAAAAGAGTTTTAAAAGGCGTTTTCTTCTATTATTGCTCAAGAAGAAAAGGGTCACTAGCCTAGTAGTATCGGACTTCTCTTGAATAGCGTCGAACTCAGCAAAAGAGCTTTAAAGTAATTTGAAGTTTTAGCTTACCCCTTATTAGTCTTTAATGGAGCTGAGGTGACGCGTTTTATCTCCACAACACAAGTAATAATAGCTCATTGTAAACATTTCTCATTGGGGTTATTGGCCCTTTCCACGCTTTTATTTAAGGGGGGGAAAAAAAAAGAACGAAGAAGAGAGTACTTGTATTTTTAAGCAACCATTGATAGGAATTTATTCAAAAAATAAAATAGAAAAATAAAGGGAAAAAGGGAAAACGCTAAGTTGGTGTGGCACACCTGGTTGCAAGACCAGCAAAAAAATGGCCACGTCCAAGTATGATTTGAGAGTTTGGCTCCTACCACTACTATAGGTAAAAGCATACTTTAGTTTTGTTGGGATTTTACATAGAGAACGGTCCAAATTACCGAAAGGACTTGGCAAACAAAACTAATTGGCTAAAGGATCAACATAAAAGTGATTATGTTGGGAGGCAGTCAGGCAGGTTATAGCTTCCTTCCTTTGTTGTCGTTTTTCATGATCTTTCACTATGATTATGCTAGCTTTTTAATTCCCTTTGGTAAACATGGTCTGAACCAAACAATTTACTTGAACCGACGTCTGGCAAATATTATATTGATTCAAACTATTGATGATATGTTACATTACGTGTAGTTTTTATACAATTAGGGGAAAAAAAAAAAAAAAATTGATTCGATTCTCTGTGATGTATGCATATCTTAGATGATAATTTTAGATATAGGATATAAACCTTTTTTAAATTCGTATGTGGATAGTCTTGATTTATGTATGATCTTTTTCCATATAAAAAGTAGAATAAAGATGGCACAAAAAGAAAAGGCAGATTTGAATTTTCTTTTGCTTAAAAAGAACGCTACAGATGCTTGCAATGATACTTCCTTCAAAGGCAAAATGAAAAGGATAATAAGTAAAAGAACAATCACATTAAAAATAGAAAAAAGGGAATTACGTTCTATGAGACTTTAACATTGATAATTGACACCTCATTATATTTTGTCTAATCACAAAACCAACAGCCAAGCTTTACAGGAAACAAATGGAATAATATATATATATATATGTATACATATATATATTTAAGCGATGAATTTCTGATATTGGGACACACTAATGAGGAATCGACCGTCCATGTGGCTATAACACCAGATCAACATTATCCATTAAACGGTTAAAGACAAGTACAAAATCCAAAACGACAAGACAAACACACCCTTCACATTCTTCCACCTGCCCAACGTGAAAGATTGAAAAACAATTAGTATAGGAACAAATTTTCTTAAATGAAGAATTTTTCAGGTGATTAGGGAATTAGTCATATCAATTATTTGTCTCATCCGTGCATTAGATGGTATGTCCTTTTCATTAGACATAACAATGTGATGTGAGTAGGATTTGGCTTGATAGGCCATGATAATCAGAATAAATGCTTGTTGATTTAATAAACATTGTTTACCAAACTTGTAAATTACTTGATACATTGTGATATAGAGATGTGAGAAGAATATAGAAAAAGTACAAATTGAAAAATATATCAATTATCAATGAGGTAATATCTAATTATTTGTAAAAATTAATTTTAAACAAAAGGAACTTTTATTGATCACCTAATTCTTTAAAAAAAGAAAAAAGAAAGAAGAAGACGAAAGGATTTGACTATTACGCACGCGCACACACTTCTGATTTACATGTACGAATCAAAGTCACAAAATCCACTTAATTAAATCTAGACCTTCAAGCTTTGGAAATTTGGAAGCTATGAACATTTGGTAAGACGTGATATTCAATTGTTTAATTTTTCTCAAAGAATACTCCTACAGAAAAAATTTCATTCGTGTAAGACTGTTTGATCTAGTGACACCAGGTTTAGGTAAGGCGGGGTTTTGAGGGAGTTTGTGTCGATCCCACCAAGGTAAATAAAATTAAAAGAAAAAAAATTTCTTGTTTTTAGCACAAGATCAAGTACTACTCTTTCCTTTCTTTTTTTTTTTTTTTTTTTTTTTTTTTTTTTTTTTTTTTTTTTTTTGAAGCACACATCAATGAATTGTAAAATCAGCACTAAATATGAAGACGAAGGAGAGGAAGAGAGAAAACTAGGTACTTACAGAAGTGAAGATTAATAAAGCTATATGTGATCACTTAGTGATGATATAAACAGCGTATATGATGCCAGGGAGATATCCAAACAAAGTCAGCAACAAACAGATCCAGAATTCCGCCTGATCAATCAATCATCCATCAAACCAGGCACAAATTAAAAACCATAATTGAAAATAAATTCCTCATCGAAGAAGATTTATTAAAAAATTAAATATTTAAATTTAGCTTAGAGAAAGAGCAAAATTAAGATCAGACCCTGCAGCCAAACTTGAGGAAGACACCAAGGGGAGGCAAGATGATTGCCAAGAGGATGTCTACGCAGGTGGCTGAGCCTTGGCCTCGCATTTTCCGTCACTTTCTAGGGAAAAAAAAAAAACCTTGAGAGAAAATTATACTCCAACTTCAAGTACGCGGTGCAAGTAAGTAACTGCTTGAATTTGTGAATGAAACAGCAAGGACGTGGTGCGGTAATATATAGAGACGTTCAGATGCCACGTGTTGGTGCTCATTGGTTTGTTATATAGAATCCTGTACGCGGTTCCTTAAGCCTGTAAAGATATGCCAGGAAATCTCACCCTCCCTTGGGCTTTAGCTCGGAATCAAATACAGCTCACAGTCTCATGAATGTGCCACGTGGTCCACATATATGATGCCATACATGTGCAAACTTTCTTTCTTCTCTTCTTTTTGATTGGACCACGTACCCCGTTATCATTCATAAAATATTCATACGTTTTAAATACACACGCATATATGTTCATACATGTGTGTATATATAATTTTATAATATATATATATATATATATTTCAATAATTATATATATCACTTATGCATAATTGTCTAGCTTCGTCTGTGATTCCGCTTTATGTTGTGTAAAGTATGCGTCGAAGAACAGTTCAAAAGATCACATGCAGGTACAAATTATTACGTACAGTAAAACCTTAATAAAAAAATTAACAACCTCGCTTAAATAAAAAAAAATTTCGGTCTCGACTCGGACTAATTTACTAAATTAATAATCTCACTAAATGCATAGGATAATAATTTTTTTCATTCTTTAGGGCCCAACAAAAATAAAAATTAAAAATTAAAAAAAATATATATAATTCATAATATTAAATAGTTTTTTTCTTTACAACTTATATTTTTTCAATTCAACTTTTTTACAAAATATGTATCTAAAGACATTTGGTTTTTGTTTTTACCTAAATTGAACTCAACCTCATCTTAATTTTTTTTACAAAACATGCACTACATCTGGGTTTTTTTTTTTTTTTTTTTTTTTTTTTTTTTTTTTTTTGAAAACAAGTAGTTATTTAAAGTTACTATTGCTTGAACATCTTAAAACACTTCATCTTCCATGGTATTAAATTTGAAAAATACATTTATTTTATGTCCAAGTACTTATTAACCTTCATGTTAAATGTAGGTATCGTATACATCAATTTTGGGCTTCTATGCATGTACATAATAACAATTAATTTTTTTTTCATAATGTACATGATAACTTTTGCAATTCTCTATGTACACATATTAATTTTTGACCACATACCATTATCTTTCTTATTTATAACTCATACATCAATCTTGGTAAAAGAAAAGGTACGTGTATAAAAGTAATTAAAACATAAAACTTTTTGTAAATTAATAAATTATTCATTTATCAATAAATAAATAATCTCTTTAAGATAATATTTCTTTTTAGTCCTAACAATATTCATTTATAGAGGTTTTACTGTATTTGAAATTTTGAGGGTTAGAAACTCAAAAGTCCTGGCAGAAAATAATTCATGACTAGAAAGATGATTTATTGATGATTTTGTAAATTGCTATGTACAAAATTTTAACTTTTAAGGTTTTTTTTTTTTTTTGAGAAAAGAAGTTTAAGTCATCTATAGTAGTACTGGGAGGGGATTTGAATGAAAAAGAAAGAGGTACAAAAACCCTTTTTTTTTTTTTGAAAAGAGGTACATAACTTCTATTTATTTGCCAAATTTGGACCAAAATTCATTTTTTTTTTCAGGGGACCAAAATTCTTTTTTGCTATTTTGCGAAATGTAAATCTGTGAAACATTTCTGAAATTGTTGTGGTAATCGCTATCCTTACCATTATCGTTTTCAAGTGGTTTGAATATTTAAGAATTGAGAATAAAGAAAAAAGTGCGGTGTTTCCCACGGCAATGAAAAAGCGCGTGATGCTTCATAGGCTGTGGAATCGTATCAACGGTTCGTATGTTTGCCGCGAGATCAGAATCAACGGCAGTGATGTAGGCCTCAAACATAGGACGGCAAAGAAACTCATGGGGTGTTTAGTGGGAGGATTCGTTTCATGATTTGTGACTTGTGACTCATTATAGTATTTTTTCTCATAAAAATACACGTAAATAAAAAATAATTTTAAATAATAGAATCGAATTTATGAACTAAACGTCCACTTATCTTATTTCGCACACACATGGCACACGGTACACGTTTACATAACCATCCTAAATCACAGGGCAGAACATGACCCAACCGCCTTCCCACGTGCGACAGATATCCAATGTGTATTTCTTTTTTTAAGTCCGCAACGTGTGTTTCAAAAAACACTTTTCTTTGTCATTTAGTATTTTTTTTGGCTAAGCATTTAGAGCATGTTTAGTACATGAATTAGAACCATGAGATTAGAATTATTTTCAATTTATATGTATTTTTTGTGAGAAAAAATACTATAATGAACTATAAATTATAATTCGAATTAGAGAACGAATCCTCCAACAAAACAGGCTTAGTGTTTTTTCACTAATTGCATTGGTGCACCTATATTACGGAGCCGGCTCTGCCCTTAGTCAAATTAAGGCCTCATCTTAAATAAGGCCCCCAATCAATCATATCTATCTATTTACTACATTATTTTACATTGAAATTAAAAATATCAGTAATTGCAAATGTCGAAATATTTCAAACAATATTTATATGTCCAATCTATATATTTTGTACACATAAATGCCTTTTTATAAGAAAGATCAACCGTCAAATTTTTTTTTAATACACACTAGTTTTTGACGCGTATATTCATTTAAAAATAACGGTTATATAAATTATTTTTCAAAAAAATATAAAAAAAGAAAAAAAGATACCTCTAATCCAAAAAAGATTCTAACTAATTTTATTGTATTTTTAATTAGTTTTATTATGTTTTGTTTGAATTTATTTTTTTATTAGAATTATTTAGAATATTTTCATGTGAGTAGTATCGAAAAGTTAGTGCAAGATGATAGTAAAATGATTACAATTCATACAAATTATCTAAATATTTTTATTTGTGTAGCATTAAAAATTCGGCACAAAACGTTGCTAAAAATCAGGCTACAAATGACTTAAAAATAAATAAATAAATAAATAATAATAATAATAATTGAGAAATGGAAATAATTCTAAGTTACACGTGTGATCTATTCAAAATAACTAATATGCAAATTGTTTTTTAAAAAAAGAAACGAACGCGAAAAAAGGCATAAAAGAAAGTGTTAGTTAGAGTATAGTGACCCTAATTCTATTTGGTCAGGTCCTAAAAAGCTCGTAGTGTGACATATGTGGCAGAGCTTTAATTATGAAAAATTTGTAGGAGTATATGGTGGTAGTGGATGGATTGGACCGATAGACCCGATCATGTAACTCATTATTGATCTCGTTGGGGGTGCGGAGGAGGAGCCCCCGCAGTATGACCTATTTTGTTAAATTTAATTTGAGGTAATTTTATTTTAGTTTACAGTTTTTTTAAATTTAAGTTGATTATTTAAATTAAATTTTTCTCGTTTGTATTATCTCTCGTATTTTTATCTAAGTAGTATTAAAAATTTTGTACAAAACGGTGTCAAAATGAACATAATCAGACCACAAAATCACTCTAAAATAAATAAATATAATAACTAATAATATTAAAATAATTAAACCGGGATTTTTCTAGCCGTCGGATCAATGCAACCAATGGTCACGATGGGCGCGTGAAAAACAAGCGCGGATAGCCGCGCATCTAGCAGAGGGGCCGGGGACTACTCGACAGCTTTTGTGCAGGTGGGTCCCGCAACGTTTTCCCTCATCCAATGAGACTGGGACACTTGGCAGTGGACTGTCAACCACTAAATCCAGCTCAGGATTGACTGCTCCGTTTATACTGAGGTCAGTTTGTTTATTCATTTAGTTGGTGACACGTGGATACCTTTTGAGCGGACGAATAAGAATCGCCACGTGGAAAGCATTTTATTCTAAATGTATGGGTATTATTGGCATTTTATTGTATATTAAAACAGAGAATTTAAATTTTTTTAAATGATGTTTGATTTATGTATTTAGAATCATGATTTAGAATTATTTTTATTTTATATATATTTTTAGTGAGAAAAAATATTATAAAAAATTATAAATTATGATTTAAAATCATAGAAAACAAACGCTCCGTTACTCAACCCACTCTTAATATATGCTATTTATTGTAATTACTCATGTAATTCTGTCATTTCCCTCATTTTCCTTTCTTTTTTTAAATCTATTTCTGGTGAATACTTTATTCGGTTGTACTAGATTCTGGAAGTGCCGACCGACCTGGCCGAAATAAAGCGTCATCAGACTGAGATATGATCCAAATTGATAGCCCATTATTGACATCAGGCCCAGACAGTAGCAGAAACAGTCAAGTAAGCAAAACCAATCTACATTCTATTTATATAAAAAAAAATGCAAAAATTATAGTAATCATTTTTTTTTTTTTTTGAAACCTTAGCTTGTTTTAAACTGTGTTGTACTAAATAATAAATTTACCGGTAAATAAACTTATTTACCTCTAGTATATAAATTTTGCCTCTTTCTCCAAAATCAATGTACAATGTAGCCTAGGAGGAAGATTATTGCGTGAAGGAGGAAGAAGATAAAAAAATGGGTTAATAATACAATTGTTCGATTACCAGTATCCATCTTAAAAACTATCTACTCTTGTTCAATGGAGGAGGGAGAGAGTAAATCTTTTATTTAGTTGAAGGGACATAGACTGAGAGAATTTTCTTTTGGGTCACTAATTTAAATTCTTATCAGAAGATGTAACAAATTCACTCAAATTTAATTAAAGAGACTTTTCATCCTTTAAAAGAAATTACTAACAAATAGTAGAAATAAACAATATAATAATTAAGTAAATAGTCTTTCAACTCTCCCTTCCTTCCATCAAATAATATAAAAAATTATTATAATTCTTTATATCCCTCACATTTCTTTTCTCTCAAACTCCCTTTATCCTTTCTCCATCCTTCATACCAAATGGAGTGTTAATTTGCAATGACATTACTACTCTTGATTTATAACCATAATTATATAAAACTCATAACTAACCAATCAAGTTTCTTCAAATAAAAGAGAGGAAAAAAAAAAACCGACAAATGAGTATAAAAAAAAAAGCATGATATCATTAGAACTTTAGGATTGCTAATCAGGTTGCCAACGCGTTTAAAAAATGTTAAACGCACAATGGTCAACAATTGTTCAAGGAAAAAAGTCGTCCAATTTAACTCGAACTTTGCAAAACTTTGTGACATAATACCACACTACCATGTTGCTTCGTTTCCCTCCAAATCCAAAAAACAAGCCGTTTCTCTCTTCACCTTCTCTCTTCAAGCTCTTTGTTCACACATCGAAAATTACACCCTCTTCTTCTCCTACCCATCTTAACAATCTCCTGAACAACACTATCCAAACCAAGAACCTCAAACACGCCTCCGAAATCCACGCCCAGCTCATCACAAACGGCTACATTTCCCTCCCTTTCCTCTTCAACAACCTCCTCAATTCCTACGCCCAATGCGGCCACATCCGCCGGAGCCTGCTCCTCTTCTCCGCCGCCCGTGGCATCCCCAAAAACGTCGTCGCTTGGACCACTCTCGTCACTCGCCTTTACCATTCTCACGAGCCCTTCGAAGCTTTGTCTTTGTTTAGCCAGATGATTTCCTCTGCTCATGTGTTGCCAAACCACTTCACTTTCTCCGCGGCTTTGCCCGCTTGCGCCGACACCGAAATTGCGGTTCACGGCGAGCAACTGCATTCTCTGATTTGGAAGCTTGGGTTTGAGACCCATGTTTTTGTTTGCAGTGCGTTGCTTGATATGTACGGGAAGTGTGGGGACGTAATTTCTGCGCGGAAGGTGTTCGATAAAATGCCTGAGAGAAATCGTGTTTCGTGGAACACTATGATTGTCAGGCTTTTAAGGAACGGGTTTTATGAGCGGGCTGTTGAGTTTTTTATGGAGTTTTCTCGGGAGAGTTCGGTTTGTCCTGATCAGGTGAGCTTTTCGAGCGTGTTGAGTGCTTGCGCCAACATTGGGGCTGTGGAATTCGGTAGACAAGTTCATGGTGTAATTCTGAAGCATGGCTTGGAAATGTTAGTTTATGTTGAAAACTCTCTAATGGACATGTATTTGAAATGTGGGTTGTTTGACCACGCTCTTAAGTTGTTTCGGATAATGGGGGACGCGGATAGAGACATTGTTACATGGAATATAATGATAAATGGATGCGTTACCAATCGCAACTTTGAGAATGCTTGCAACTATTTTTGGGCTATGAGAAGGGAAGGTATAAGACCTGACGAAGCATCTTACTCTTCTGTCCTTGGAGCTTCCGCTTGCCTAGCAGCTCTTGATCAAGGCACAATGATCCATGAACAGATAATAAAATCTGGGTTTATGAGGATTTTGTGTGTCGCAAATTCATTGATAAAAATGTACTCCAGATGCGGGAACCTGAATGATGCTTACTGCGTGTTTGAAGAAAATGAGGACCGCAATGTGGTTTGTTGGACTGCTATGATTGCAGCTTACCAACAACATGGCTGCGCAAACCAAGTGTTTGAATCATTTCGTGCAATGTTAGGAGATGGAATCAAGCCTAATTACATAACTTTCGTTTCGGTTCTGTCAGCTTGTAGCCATGCTGGGCTTGTAGAAGAAGGTTTTGAGTACTTCAACTCAATGACCGAAATGCATGGTATCATCCCCGGGCATGAACACTATGCTTGCATGGTTGACTTGCTCAGTCGTGCAGGTCGATTGGATGAGGCTAGGAGGTTTATAGAGTCAATGCCAATCAGACCGAATTCGTCAAGTTGGGGAGCTTTGCTTGGTGCTTGCAAGGATCATAACAATCTTGAAATGGGCAGACAAGTTGCAGAAAAGCTTTTCTGCTTGGAACCAAATAATCCCGGAAACTATGTGCAACTCTGTAATATGTACACAAACAATGGAAGGTTGAAAGAAGCTGATGATGTTAGGAGGTTGATGGGGCTTAATAGGGTAAGAAAGGAGCCTGGATGTAGCTGGATTGATATCAAGAACAAAACCATTGTGTTTACTGCCCATGATAAGTCGCATTCTAGGACAGATGAGATTTCGAGATATTGAGAAAATTGGAGTTACTGAAGAATGAAGGGGTATGTGTTGAAACCCAACACAATGCCTGAACGTTTTCATCTACGACAGATAACAGACATGATTAGATGAATGTTGTTCCTTTAACTTTATTACTAGTTCAAAAGCTTTAGCAAGAATCTATATGCCCCAAAAAGCATGATATTGTTCTTCGCATATATACTTTTCTGTCAAGAAATCTGGTGGAATTCCTTCAGTAATATTCTAATCCCAATTTCTTTTTTTGTCTGGGCCCGCCAAGAATTCTCAGGGAGTTTGATACACAAAGAAGTCCTAGATCAAGTTCTAATTGATCAGGAAAAAAACAACAAAACACCGAAGGAGACGCGATGACACTTTCACTCCCTTGATTTTGGATCATGTATTGTAAATGTGATGCAGATATTTTACTAGTCTAAAGTAATGAAGACTAGTAGAGTACATAGAGCTTTCAATACTGTAGCGATAGAGTTTTCACTAGCATTGTATCTTTTTTTCTTTTATTATTCATTCTTTATTATCTCAAATAATTTTATTCACGTGTTCTACTACGCTATACATATATAATATTTAGTTGAAATGCACGCTTTGATTGAAGCATCTATACATATACATACATACATATATATTTATATATATATATATTAAATATTCTTATGTACCGTGCGGAGATAGGATTTTGTTACAGGGATACAAATTAAAAGTGTGAAAAATATTATAACCGTTAATAAAATCAACTCTTAATACCATTAACTAGTTGGAAGTACATTTTATATGTGTGCATATTGTTAGAGAGATTGTAATATATCTCTCAATTACAATATCACAAAATTTTGACTTAAAACACATTTGTGAAAACAGGCGCGCACAAGCGCGCGGCAGCGCACAAAGCAGCGCGCACAAAACAGACCTCTCAGGTCTGTTTTGTGATGCCCGAACGCTGCAGCGTGAATGTCATCTGCTGCAGCGCAAATTGCTACTGAAAAACGTGTTTTCGTGTGTTTTAATGATCTGAAAAGTTCTTGAATCATTGCATCCATTTGTGATATGTTTTCTCACATATCTGAGTACTTATTAACAATAAACATAACTATTGTGATAAGTGCATCAGCCAATAAAAGATAACCTTCAAATTGAAAAATACATTTTTATGTGAAAGGTTGTAACGTTTAAAGAGCATGTATGCATCCCTGTCTTTAATCAATGCATTCAAAAAATACATACTTATAATTGTTTTGGAACTCAATATTTTTGCCGGATATTATATTCAAGGGTTTGTTGTATCTTGGGGGTAATTTGTCATTAAAACTCATTAACAAACTTTGAGAAGTGAAGGCAAATAAAACCTTAAAAGAAAGTATTCCTATACGCTTCACACCCTCTTCTTGATTTTTATATTCTTTTCATCATCTCAAATCTGAAATTCTCCAACACATATTGATCAATTTATTAAAATTTTTGATACATGAATTAAAGTCTTGAAGAGTTTGATTAAAAAATGTGTTTATTACTTTAATAAGGACAAATTAGAGAAAAAATTCTATATGAGAAAATAGTGCTTAAGAGAGTTGCTTAAAAAAAAAAAAAAAAAAAAAAAAAAAAAAAAAAAAAAAAAACCCTTCATTACGGACACTCTTGAAAAAAATATTTTCAGCCACCGTACTACTTCTATAAGTTGGAAAACGGCGGAGGAGGAGGAGAAGAAGAAACACATCAAACTTTTTTTCTTTGGAAGAATGAGAAAAACAACATAATTTGGAGTTCAATAAAAATAAATAACGTAAAGTTTGGAGATTTACAAAAGGAGCCTGGATGTAGCTGGATTGATGTCAAGAACAAAACCTTTGTCTTTACCGCCCACAATAAGTTGCATTCTAGGACGGATGAGATTTATGAGATATTGAGGAAAATGGAGGAGTTAATGGAGACTGAAGGCTATTTCTCCGAAACCCAATTCTCAAATTTGGAAGCATCCAAAGAGAAGAACTTGTGGTACAATAGCGAAAAATTAGCCCTCAGAATTCGCGATATTGACCCTTCCAGTTATGGCTTCAATTATGATAAAGAAGAATCTAAGAGCCTTTTGTTTCAGTACTCAAACTCAAATAATTAATTATGTTATAGTATTTTTTTTTTCATAAAAATTTTAAATTTTAAACATTAAAATTAAGAATTATAATTTAAGTATATTTTTTAAATATGCCCTGACTTGTCAACATTGTCATGCAGTGCTAAAACTTGCTTATGTTATGTTAGGATTTTATTAGTTAGCATGTTTTAGAAATTGGATGTAAAAATTCAAAAACAGATACAATCGGCAATTGGTGTTTTTGAGGAGATTATGAAGAGATTTTGTCTGGTTAGTTATTCCGGATTTAGAATTTTTTGAAGAAGGAAAGTTTATTTGGGCCAGGCAATTTTAGAGAGATTTGAGAAGATTTAATTACTATGTGAAACCATTAAAATTCCTGCAGATTTAAGATAGGATCTATTTGAGGAAAGAAAAATAAATTAATTGCTTGTTGAGTGATTTTATTATCGGAAAAGGTTAAAAAGAGGAGAAAATCGTGGAGATTTTGGGAAGCATGATTTATTGGCTATTTTACTTGGATTGCATGTTGAGACAATAGTTGCTATTGTTGAAGGGCATGACGAGTATTGTTGTATATATAGCATGACGAGTATTGTTGTATATATAGCATGGGCATTAACGTGAAGGTGACTAAGAGAGTGGCCTATGCTTTAGTCGTGGGGTGTGTGCCTTTGAAAGAGAAATATTGAGCTTTTATGTTTTAAGGTAATTGAAGGCCATATTTGGGGCAATGAGTTTTACAGAGAAAATTTCTAAAATGAGTATGTGAGTTTGTTAGTCTTTGAGTGCGTATTGAGATCATCTTTCGAGAAAAAGATTTGTAGCTTTCGGAAAAAAGATTTGTAGTTTTCGGTAGAAAGTGCAATACCGGACGAATAAAGTTTGCCGTGCAGCTTGAAGACGAGTGGTACTCATTAGACAAGGCCATTAAAGAGATTCGACACGACGGCGACAACATTAAAGAGAGAGTCTTTGAGTGTATAAGTCTGATTAGTGTTTGTAATCTTGAGACTTAGTGGATTATACACTGTCAAGGCGTGACTCCGCAGATATAGGTGTGCGCACCGAACTGCGATACCATATCATGTGTTTTATATTTTCTGCACTAATATTTCCTGCTTGATTACTTTGACGTTTTTGTACGTAATCGTTATAGTTAATCGTTAGTGTTTCAGAAAGTGTTACAACACTCTCTAGAACACCTGCGTAAAAATAAAGATCTTGCTAGAATTAATTGGTCTCAACACAGTTTAAACAAGATCAAAAACAATAATCTAGCCATAAATATGAAAATACCATAAAATTTATTTAGGGTTTAGGCATAAATTTTTATGGGCAAAAGGATTTACCTCCTCTGATAAGCAGTGGAAAAGCGTCGCCCATGGTCGCTGAAAAATGCCAATGGCCGGCCGGAATTAGTGTGAAGCTGCAAAGCAAGAAAGAGGTTCAATTGAACTCCTCTATCTCTCCAAAACCGCTAGACCCCTACACACAAAAATTGCCTATGACAGCCACCCCAAAGACAAAAGGTTATGAAATCAAACAGGCTTATTTTAACAACATAGAATTAGAGAGGTATTTGGTCCAATGGGCTGACCAAATATAGTAACATAGAGGGAGCCTATATACCTCAAGCTAGTTAATAAACCAAGTGTCCATCTCATTATGGATCGATATTTAACATACATGCATTTATTAATTCACATTAATACAGTTGTCTATGAGATGCTTTGATTTACAATAGAGTGAATTATTAAAATTATGGAAGTCTACATAAAAATATTTCAACAATCTCTCACTTGGATGACATAATCATACAATAAACATTCACTTATTACAACATAAGAATAAACCAAGAATCTCACACAATAAATACAAGCCCAAAATAACTATGCATAATAACGTATCGACATGATACAATTATTATACATAATCAGACGCTAGAGATTCATCAAAGCACGACAACAACTTTAACATATGGATCAAAAATAATAATGTATATAATGAGATTAATAACCAGATGTCTCCTTTTTCCAATATGTCACTTTACAAACCAAACAGCGCTAGAGATTCATCAAAGCACGACAACAACTTTAACATATGGATCAAAAATAATAATGTATATAATGAGACTAATAACCAGATGTCTCCTTTTTCCAATATGTCACTTTACAAACCAAACACGTGTCAATCACAACATCACATACAAAGTGACAAATCCATAAATATGCATGTATTATTTGAGACATACTAAATCTTTATCAATAACAACATGTAACACACAAATAGCAATAACATCCCACTAACTCAATACAACTATTGGCTCCTTACAGTCCCGAGTGATATGTGTGTTCTTGAAAGACCAAATAGGTAAGCTCTTTAGTGAATCGGCCAACATGTTGTTTATAGGCATCCTTTTAGTAACAATGATGCATTTTACAATTTCTCTTCACCAAATAGAACACACTATCATTATGCTTGAGTGAATAATACTCCTAGTGCTCTAAGAGTAATATGCTATTATGGAACTTTCACAACACAATTTCAGCCGGTCCAGAAATGGAGTCAACTACTCCTAATGTTGAAACAAGGTTCCACAATCACATCACATAAATAGCCTCACGATACGCCACATACTCCGCATCATGGTCAAAGACGTTACGAGTGTCTATTTGACACTTTTCAATAAAGTAGCTCATCCTTTTATCATTTATGCAGCCTGCATAATCGGCATCACAAGATCCAACTATAACAAAAGTGTTAGTTCACCGATACACAACTATCTGGTACTTCATTCTCAATTAATTCAGTAATAATAACAATGATCACTCAAGTACCTAATCTGCACGTCAACAACAAACACAACAATAAGACGTGTGCATACTTAAGCATACATTTGGCTGCTAAACACAAAAGCATAAGGGACAGTTTATATGATCTCTCTTACTTCACCATAAGGACATTATACCTTTGAGAGTTTGTCACTTTAACATACATTACTTACTAGGAGAACAAGAATGCATACTAAACCTATTTAGAACAAGAAAAATATAGGTTATCCGAGATGACCAGAAAATGCACTTAACCTTGTCACGGAGAATCCGCATGCCTATAACATAAGAGGCTTTTTCAAGATTCTCATACCAAAGTGACTAGGTAATATGCTATTCGTCTCAACCAACAAGTCAGAATCATTAGGTGCGAGCAAGTTGTCACCAACATAAAAAACAGAATATGCAACTGCTCCCACAGAATTTACACATATG